GCAGAGGGTGCACATAATGTAATAATGAGTTGAAATTATATAAAAACATCTTTACACCACGTAAAATTGTTTTGACTTAATGTCATAAAGAGCTGATATAATGCAACGGAAGATTAGCTTGACATAATGTAATAGAAAGAAAGTTGATATAACGCAATAGTAGTGTGTGTAAATGTCATAAAGAGTTGACATAATGTAATAGAAAGTTGACATAACGCAATAGTAGTGTGTGTAAATGTCATAAAGAGTTGACATAATGTAATGGAAAGTTGACATAACGCAATAGTAGTGTGTGTAAATGTCACAAAGAGTTGACATAATGTAATGGAAAGTTGATATAACGCAATAGTAGTGTGAGTAAATGTCATAAAGAGTTGACATAATGTAATAGAAAGTTGACTCAACGCAATAGAAGTGTGTGTAAATGTTATAAAGAGTTGACATAATGTAATGGAAAGTTGGCATAACGCAATAGTAGTGTGTGTAAATGTCATAAAGAGCTGACATAATGTAATGGAAAGTTGACATAACGCAATAGTAGTGTGTGTAAATGTCATAAAGAGTTGACATAATGTAATGGAAAGTTGACTCAATGCAATTTGAAATTTAAATTTATCGATTTATCAATATGACTGTGTCTTTGATATTCTACCTGCAGAAAATTCTTAAAACGAGTCAAGCTATTAATAAATACTTTGATGATCAAAGACCACCAAAGATTTCCTTTGAATTCAACTTTTGGCAAATTTATAGTTAATGGCATTGTTTGCAAATTCTGTACGTGCACAATGCTTAAAAAAAAAAATCGAAATTAGCGCTCATTTCTCTTTGAGTGAATATGAATGAATTATGAAGGGTATTCATGAAGTAGCGCATTATGTCCACGAAAAAGATGCTAAAATATAATTATCAAGCTTGCAGTCGTAGTCGGAAAATAGCTCTACAGGGGTAATGTTTTTTGGTGCTGTACCCGACTTTAAATAATAAATACATTTGGTTTGAACATATTTTATTATTTAACACAAAAGGATCAGAAACAAGTTCTTGCAACTTACAAGTTCTCTAAATACATATTATTTTATCTTAGCTTTCTTTGCTTTCACTTTGAAAAAAAAAAATAAGCACTTAAAAAATTCAAAATGCGTTAAGGTAGGATTCTTCTCTGGTTTCTGACTAGATGAAACATTCAAAGTATATTTGCTTATATGTCTTATATATTGAGGTGTAAGGAATTTAAAAGACCATATTTTTCTTTCCTCATCACAATTGTACAACTTTAAATAGAAATGGTAAACTGTGTTTGAAAACTAGCAGGGACTATATTTTTGGCGGGATGGTGGCGTATGAAAATATCTTCTTTTCTGCCTCTCAAAATTATAATAGAACAATGAATTTAGTTATAATTTGTACACAATCGAAGACTTGGAGAAATTTTCAAATGTAAGTTAAATTTATAATGAGGGACTAAACTTTCAAAATATATCAAATAAATATGATTTTCCAAACAAACTAGAACTTTGTTAGCTTTTAAAGGCTTCCTATCAAAGTGCAGATTTGAGCCAAAAATCAATAAAAAGTATTTTTTCTCTCTTAGTAAAAGATCAAAACTTTTTGTTTTTGTATCATTTTGTACATTTATAAGACTACTTTATTATATGTGAATATAAGAAAAAGTTAAATATAGGAAGCATATGAAAATAACTAATATATCCTAAAAAAATGAAGAAAAACAGAGAAAATTCGGATTAGCCAATATCCAGTTAAGTTAAATTATTTATGTAAATTTGGTAATATCATGCTACAGACCGAATATAGTTATATGTTTTTATGCAAAAAGAACAATCTTTAAACTTTTGAAATAGAAGTAGGTATCACATGATTGGCAACAGTACTTTTTATTCTTAATGTCAAGGAAAAAGATAATGACCTTGACCTAACCTTGCCTCTTATATAAAACGGTCAAATTTAATTTCACTGATACTATCACTTACTGATATTGTCTTCTTGATTCTGTGAAAATTTCATTAATTTTTAAATATTAGAAATATGAGAAGAATCCTACCTTAAAATTAGAACAAAACCAACGTACTTTGAATTTTTTTTTTGAATTTGTCTAAAATCTTATGCGAAAAAAAGAAGAAAACACTTGCTGTGGCCTTCAGCTAGACATTTTATATTTAGATATATCGACGACGTATAGTCAATTAACAGCGGCAATTTCCATTCTTATGTCGATACGATATATCTTGGTGAGCTTGAGATAAAAGATACCACAGATTCTGACACATCTGTTTTATATTTAGATATTTTACTTGAAAAATACATTAATGGTATTCAAACAATCAAGCTCTTTGATAAACGTGATGACTTTATTTTTTCTATCTCAACACCCCTTACATGTACCTATTCAGCAATATACCTTCATCACCTGCATACGGAGTTTATATATCTCAGTTGATTCGATACGCAAGAGCATGCTCTACGTATGAACAATTTATAAAACGAGGAAAATTATTGACAAACAAGTTGGTGAAACAAGAATATCAACAGTCTCTTTTAAAGTCATCATTTCGTTAGTGACCTTGTCAGCAAGTACAATTTATCAGATTTGTTTTAATCTTGAATATTGTTCGTCATTTCCACACGGCAGGAATGACCAGTAGATACAGGGTGTTTACTCCTCCGTAGCGCCTGATCCCACCTCTGTTTTCAGAGGTCCTTGTTGGTTTTGCTTTGGATTTGGTGTCATCAAATTTCCCTTTTCAGAATTAGATTTTTCTCTCTCTATTTTTTCTTATGATATTCAATCCCCTTCCTTAATCTAATTCTCTCCCCTGTCGGTGAGTCACAAGATAGGACAAACGATAATATTCATAGCAAATATGACAATATTTCAATAGTTCTGTAGAGCTCTGCAACAATTCAGAAATGATATTTGCAAAAAAGAAAAAAAAGATACTTAGAACTTTTAAAATAATAAACAGTAATACCAAAACGTATAACTTTTCAGGATATGTAAAGTTAGCTATCAGTAACTGAATATACAACAAGTGGGTAAAATTAACTAAACACAGTTGTTATACTAGTACTAGTAATTTGTGTATTTATCAAGATGTATATAGTAGTATTAAGAAAAAAATTAAAATTTGTGAAAGTGCAAGGATGTGTCAATCAAACCTATCCAAAAATAACTCTAAATAACTTTTATATGAAGTAAGAATTTTAATATATTTTCGTGTAAAATGCTTTTAAAATATATGTCGTGATATTATAGAAAATATTAACTTCAAACTATGGAACGCCAAATTAACACATATTCAAACATTTGTACCTCTCTTCAAATGAATTGAAGATAGGTACACTTGAGTTAAAGATAGGTACAATTAAATTGAAGATAGGAACAATTGAATTGAAGATACAATGTAGGTAGAAATAATTATACCTATCTCTAGATAATTATACCTGGGTACAAGTGAATTATACACATATCTTCAATTCAATTAAAGATATGTTCAATTGAAATATACCTATCTCTTATTCATTTGAACATAGGTATAACTGATTTAAAGATAGGTACAATTGATTTGAAGATAGCTTCAATTATAAGACATATCCACAAAGGATTTGAAAATAGATACAATTCAATTATACCTAGGTTCAATTCGTTTTGTGTTGTTGAACAAACGCTCCCTTTGAGACATGGAGGGAAACACACAGAACCTACAGTGCGATGACAACGAGGATAAAAGGAGAAGTAAAAGTAAATTCAAAATGTGCAAAAAGAATCATATACTTATTAGAATACACATGTATATCAATAAGTGAGCAAAAAGCATATATACTATACCCGAATACCCCGAAACTGACGGAAATGACGTATGATAAAGTGAGTAGTTATTATTGCCAATATCTTAGTAATAAAAGATAGGTTCAATTCAATTGTACCAATCTTTAAATCTATTATACCCATTTTTACCTATCTTCAAATTAATTGTACCTATCTTCAAATGAATTAAAGATAGGATAAGTGAATTGTACCTATCTTTAGTTATAATTGATTTAAAGACAGGTACAATTCATTTGAAGATAAGTACAATTACTTGAAGATAGGTACAAATATTTGAATATAATTATGTTAATTTGGCGTTCCATACAAATCTCTGTCTATGCACCTTTAAAGTCAATAAAAAAATTAGTAAATTTACTGTCCATACAACTACTTTAAAACTAGGTATTGGGTAAATTTACTAGATAACATCACTAAATCTAGAATGTATCAGTTACTTTCACTAGGTAAAGTATCTATAAGACCCCCGCTACATAACTCACGCTCCAGGAAACTGACAGTTTACTAATCAAGCTAAACGCTTTTCGAGGTATAGTAGTTAAATTCACTAGGTTTTTCTTTCAGTGAATAGACTAATTTAGTTAGGATTAATGGATTTTGTTTTTACTGATAAACATTATTTTAATTGATTGGCTTTGCTGAGTGCAATAAACAAGTTATGCAAAACGTTAGTACACAAATGTAATTAAATAATATTGATTACAGACTGATGAATTCAAAAATAATTTTGCAAATTCTGTGTTTGTTATAATGACATACTAAAATTGGAAATGTTTATATATACTACAGTGCCGTATTGTTAGTTTGCTTTTTACATCCGGTATGTAATTTCAGTTAATAAATTCAAATTTAAAAAACAAAATTTAAAATAAACTGTACTTGATGATTCTAAGCACTACGGTAACTTTCGTTTTGATTCACAATTTTAAAATTAAAATGAAAACATGTTATTCTAGGTAATGATTCGAATATTAATACTCAGGTGACCTTATTTTGTTGAAGTTATTTAGACTCTGTCTGCATATTTTCTATCTTAAGTATCTGGGTATTTCCATTTTTTTAAAACCCTGGGCTTGACTACAATAATTTCTTTTCCAAAATGAATATAAATACGATAAAGATCATTCAAGAAGTTTTTACTTCGAGATACATGTATGTTAAACTCTTAACAAAGCCGGTATTTGGAAATTAATGCAGAGGACTGAGGTATAAAATAAATTTGTGAATTATTTTAGACCTTTGATTCTAATAATGTACATATATAATGGAAAACTTCCTTTTATGTTAACAAATTACTTTCCTCTCCTTGACTGAAAGTTTTTACAGATCACCAAAGGCGAGATTTAAGACCAAGTAAAGCAATTTGAGATGAATTGTATGACAGTTTAATATTTTTTCTCTTTTATTGTAGGTTTTAAATGATGTTTTGAAGACGATTTGAAAAGAGAATGAAATATTTAGCGATATGTGTGTTTATGACAACTTATTCCATGCAACAATCTGGTAAGTTTTCGAGAGAACAGTTGGATTTAGTGACACTACCTTTACATGTACCAGCAGTAAGATTTCTCCAATAGTGAAATATTCCTTAAAGTTTGCATTTGTGTAAAAAAAACATAAATGACAATATCATTGTCTAACATAGCTGCAGAACTGTAGCTCTCCGAAAAAATTATATTAATAGACCGGAGAGCTACAGTGCCACCCATTGAAAAAAAAATGTATATTTATTGCGCATAAAAAAGTGCGCTTGGTTCTGGATTAATTCTTCCAAACTCTGACCTCAGTTGCGAAAAAAAACTAGATTTCAACAAAGTCCTTACTCCTCTATCAATTACTTTCGTAGTTTACGTCTGTACGAAGTGCGTTGGACCGAATTATCTTGCAAACCAAAATGGCATTATAAATAGACGAAATTTTCGATGATCTCAATTTCAGGGCCAGAAGGGCTATTACAAACAATTATAAGGAATGTTATGATGTGGAAACAGTGAAAAAATATGTTAAGAACTCACGGTTAGTAATATTTTGAGATGGCAGTTTTAAAAACATGGAGAAAAAAAATCGAGAAATAGCGCACTTTTTTGTGCGCAATAAATCTACAGTTTTTTTTCAATGGATGGCACTGTAGCTCTCCGGTCTATCAAAATATTTTTTTTCGGAGAGCTACAGTTCTGCAGCTATGTCTAACATGAAATGCAGTAAGCAGTGCCCTAAATTCAACAAGAGGCCCATGGGCCACATCGCTCACCTGAGTAGCTTTAACCATGCTGTTCTTTACCATTTTCCCCCTAGTTATACTTATTGTGACCCCACCCTTAGCCCCTTGGGTCAATTCTAAATTGGGTAATTTAAAATTTACACTACCCAAGGATGCTTTCACTTAAGTTTCAGCTTTTCTGGCCCAGTGGTTCTTGAGAAGAAGATTATTAAAGATTTTTCTTATTTATTTTTATGTAAAACTTTGATTCCCTGTTGTGGTCCCGCCCAACTCCCTGGGTCATAATTTGAACAATTTAGAATCCAAACTACCCTATTATGGTTTCACATAAGTTTCAGCTTTACTGGCCCGGAGGTTCTTGAGAAGAAATTTTTTAAAAGATTTTTCATGTTTATTTCTATGTTAAACTTTGATTCCTTATTGTGGCCTCGCCCTACTCCCAGGGGTCATGATTTGAACAATTTAGAATCTACACTATCCCAGCATGCTTCCATATAAGTTTCAGCTCTTCTGGCCGAGTGGTGCTTGAGAAGATTTTTAATTTTTTCCTATATATTTCTATGTAATGCTTTGATTCCCTGTTGTGGCCCCTCTTACCCCTGGGGGTCATGATTTGAACAATTTAGAATCTACACTACCCCAGCATGCTTCCACATAAGTTTCAGTATTTCTGGTCCAGTGGTTCTTGAGAAGAATTTAAAAAAAAGATTTTTCCTATTTATTTTTCTATAAAGCTTTGATTCCCTATTGTGGCTCCGCCCTTCCCCGCGGGTCATGATTTTTAAAATTTAAAATCTACACTATCTCAGCATGCTTCCACATACGTTTCAGCTTTTCTGGTCCAGTGGTTCTTGAGAAGAAGATTGTTTAAAGATTTTTCCTATTAATTTCATTGTAAAAATTTGATTCCCTATTGTGGCCCCGCCCTACCCCCTGGGGTCATGAATTTTACAATTTAGAATCTACATTACCGCAGCATGCTTCCACATAAGTTTCAGCTTTTCTGGTAAAGTGGTTCTTGGGAAGAAGATTGTTTAAAGATTTTTCCTATTTATTTCTATGTAAAATTTTGATTCCCTATTGTGGCCCCGCCCTATCCCCTGGGGTCATGAATTTTACAATTTAGAATCTACACTACCCCAGCATGCTTTCACATAAGTTTAAGCTTTTCTGGTAAAGTGATTCTTGAGAAGAAGATTTATAAAGATTTTTCCTATTTACATGTATTTAATTAAATGTAAAACTTTGATTCCCTATTGTGGCCCCGCCCTACCCCTTGGGGTCATGAATTTTACAATTTAGAATCTACACTACCCCAGCATTCTTCCACATAAGTGTCAGCTTTTCTGGTCCAGTGGTTCTTCATCGTCGCAAACCACGGCCAAAATGTACGATCCTCTCCCATTCTGGCCGTGGTTGAACGAGGAGAGAATTCTTCGTAGCTCATTAAAATATTGACCAATGCGAGTAAAGCATAGTCGGATGATGAACTTTTTCGTGACCTTTCAATATCTAATCGCAGTTTACGAAATATTCCTTGTATACTGTTGATGTCAATTGTTGCGATGGAAACAAAACTTCCTGAATATGACGTCACAATAGAGAGGCGTAAATATTCAAGATTACGCCACTATTTATGATCAAGCAGCCATGGGTAGGAGAGAGCTTTATGCGGACTCCGGACCGTGGCTTGAGACGATGGTTGTTCTTGAGAAGATTTTTTAACGATCCCTTTAATGACCTTATCTCCCCTATTTCTGAATTATCTTCCCTTGTGAGATGACTTGGCCCTTCATTTTAACAATTCAAACTTCCCTTCACCCAAGAATGCTTTGTACCAAGTTTGGTTAAAATTGGCCCAGTGGTTCTTGAGAAGAAGTCGAAAATGTGAGAAGTTTACAGACGGACAGAGCATGAGACGGACGGACAGACGGACGGACGACGGACAGAATGGGATTAGAAAAGCTCACTTGAGCAGGTAAGCTAATGAAACCGATTATTTTCGAGGGTGGATGGGTACAAATTGTTAAGATTTGAGGAGAAAAAAATATTGGCCTTTGCAGATTTGATTTCGTGGTTGACTGTTCGAAATGTTAAATTATCATTTCGAACATTAGGTCGGGTCCCAAACCATACATCAGAGTAGCCATCAAGGAAGACATTTAACAAACATCATCATCTTCTATGTCAAATATTTAATTAAGGAATGAATTTAATAGCTACCCATTTTATACGGTATAAACTGGGTTGGGGCAGTTCGCGGTTTATAAAAAAGCGTAAACTGTTCCAACCCAGTTTATACCGTATAAAATGGGTAGCTATTAAATTCATTGCTTATAATTTAATTTTCATTCATTTGATGTAAGAAAAAAAGATTATTGTTCTAATAAAATGACTTCAATTTGTGCAAAATTTGAATGTAACGTCATGCGTATTGATACGTTTTTGACGCACGTCATTGTGACGTAGGCAACCCATTTTATACGATATAAAATAATTTTTTATCCAATCAAATACATCGTTACAACCATAATTAAATTATTTATGTTTGAAAAATTTCGACTTTGAAATAAAAGTTATCTGTCTAATTCCAACCAATGATGTTTCCATCCATCCCATCCTTTAATCGCTCCCTTTGAAGTACCAGATTCACTCGGAAAATTGTATAGCAAACTTGTATTTTATTTCTTTAACCCAAAACTCAACCCCTCCAATTTTTTTTAACATTTCAGATGTACATTTACCACTCCAGTGTGTGATTATACAGAAAAGACAAGCCATTGTTCCACCACAAAGTAGTTGTTATATATATTGTTCATTCTTATCCATTTACGAATAATAGTACATACGTTTTATTCAGAATTTATAACTGAGAAATTCTAATTATTAAATATTATACAGGAGTTCCCCAATTCTTAGTTGGTGACAAAACGGCATGCCAACAACATGGATCAGGTACCTTTTAATACTTGTTAAATTGTCTTTCAGAATAAGAAATGATTTTTAATCAATGATAAACGCTTATTAATATAAGTGAACTCAAGAAAAGATTTTTTACTTGATACAAGTAATTCATGTTGTACTGAAAAATTATTCGAGATACCATCAGAAACGTGCATAGATTAAAACAGAGAAATCATCCCTTAATAGGACACGAGACTTTACAGTGTGGCGATACTGATGTATACATTAAATCTGAGTGTGTTTGTACATTTTATAACGTAAATGAAGCAAAATACCACGACCATACGGCTTGTCCAAATGGAGAGAACTCGGACGATGTGAAACGATTAACATGTAAGAAATTTTACAAATGCTTTCCATCAGTATTCACAGAATAATTAGAGAAAGGATATTACTGATTTTGAAATTCAGTATGTGTATTTATTTTATCATTTCTAGAACTTATTTTAAGGTAGAGAGTGTGCACTATTCAGTCTCCACAACAAGGGGCCTTGTATTAACGGCGGAAATCTGACGTGTAAGACGGGGGAAAACGTGCTTGCGCCTGATATTCAATGTGACTGTCCAGATGATTTTGAAGGAATGTTTTGTGAAAATAGAATGGAGAATGTATGTTCAGTTTTATTCATAATAATTTTCACATTTATTTGGTTCAGGGATAAACCTATTAGATCTCAATGATAAATTTGAAAAGAAGACAAACCCATTTTGATCTACCTTATTGTATAGTCAGTTCAAGTTTTATTTTGATAGGTGACCAGAATTTGTGACATGGTCACAGAACCTTCTTCTCCCCAACTAATAAACTGCGACCTCACGAAAATGGATTGCTTTACATACAGCGAAAACAAAAAATATGCTTTCAAATGTAATAAAACAGAGGAAAGCCAGGAAAGAAAAGGTACAGCGATTTAAATCTAGAAACTCAAACTCTCTCTCTCTCTCTCTGAAAAACAACTACAGAATCTGGAAATGTACGGGTGGAATCTAACAATACGCGACATGGATATACATCAAGAGCGGACAAACTCACACCAGTTTTGACACTAACGTCAGTTTACTGTTGGTTTCTAAATATAAAAACCTTTGCTGAGACTCTGCTCTTAAGAGTTTAGGTGTTAACTTCTTTGAAAGGACACATTTTTACAGAACTTCATGAAAAATAATTTGAAGTGTTTGAATTCTTTTAAACGAATTATAGGGTTTGTCATTATCGAGTGATTACTCAGTATTATTTAATACATTTAAAGAATTTATACAATTTCTAATCTCAATCGTAAATGTTTGTTTAAATAATCCCTCTTTCCTTATTATTAGCAGACCTATTTTTGAATTCATATGAAGCAGAATTTGGCTTAAACGTGAAAAAGAAGAAAACACTTGCCGTGGCCTTCAACTCGATATTTAGATATATCGATGACGTATAGTCAATGACAATGGATATTGCCATTTTTATGTCGAAATGATATATCCAGTCGAGCTTTATTAAAATAAGAGATACCATATAGAGTCTGCCATATCTATAAAAATATAAAAAACATTTAGATATTTTACTCGAAAAGACGTTAGGCCTAATAGTCATCTAGCAATCAAGCTTTATGATAAACGTGATGACTTCTATTTTTCAATGGTCAATTGCCCTCATACCTTTATCATCTGCATATGTTGTTTATCTCTCAGTTGATTCGACACGCAAGAACATGCTCTCCGCATGAGCAATTTATAAAACGGGGTAAATTATTTCCAAACAAATTGCTAAAAAAAGAATATCAGCAGTCTCTTTTAAAGTTAACATTTCCTAAGTTCTATGGTCGATACTATGAAATTGTACGATTTATCATTGAGTCAAATGCTACTGTATCTGACGTTTTTCACACTAATTATTAGGTTAAATTGTATACTGTTCGTTATCTCCATCAATGAAATTTCGTCGTATTAAGATACGGATAGAGCAAAAAATGAGAATAAAAATTATAACATTTCTACTTAGAATTTTATCAAATAATGATGCTGTATTCCAATATTAAATATATTTGTGCATGGCAAATCTAGTTATTGTTAATATGACTTTGTTTTTCGTGGATCTTTATGTTGTTTTATATAAAAAATGTATAGAAATTACCCGATGCAAAACATTAATAATATTTAAGTATAAGTGGACAAAATGTTGTACGAAGAAAAACCTGTTTTTTGCATGCCGTGATCTAACACGAGCGGATCAAACCGCTCTTTCCCTGTTAAATGTATGGTGTATAATATTATATAACCGCCACTCTTTAAACTTTTTCAATTTAATCATATTTTTTTTATCAAATTTTATTGTATGATTTGAATTTGATGTATTTTGACATAGAAAGTGATAATATCAGGTTAACAATTATCAAGCATATTAAAAGTTTCTAGCATTAAAAATATTTGCAGTTGTTCAACATAGTTTTGTGAATGGTGAAAATGCCAAGAAATTGCATATACATGAAGAAACTATATAGAATAAGTATTCAGTTGTGATGGTTAAAGTATCAGAAGGAATGAAATACGAAGAAAATGCCAACAAATTGCATATGGATGAAGAAACAAAAGAATATTCAGATTTGATGGTTAAAGTATCAGAAAGAATGGAATACGGGATAACGAACAATATTCAAGCTCATGAGTACATTCAAACAATACAGATCAGGAGCAGAACAAACACGGCCCTCTGATCAGAGGTTGGAATTTGGATCAGATGATATGAAGGAGTGAGCACCCCATCCGCAGTGTGAAACTAGTCAGGATCGTGAAAAACGTTTAAAAAAAATAAACGGTCGAAAATTCAGTAAATGATGGCCTAACAAATAGTATGACCTAATAATTGGTTTTATTTGCTGGCAAACTCATTGTATCAATAGAAAAAATTGAGAGACTGTTAATTAACCTTTTTACATCAACTTGTTTGTCAAAAGCTTACTTCGTTTTAGAACTTTTTGGTACATTAGCCATATTTTTGCATATCGAATCAAATGAGTTACATTCCGTATGCAGGTGGTTAGTTTAACTGCTACTCTGTTGTTTCTTTTATAATAAGCAAGCTCACTGGCACTATGAATATAAGTAACGATTTGTTATTGATAATAGATTGTCCATGTATTTAAATGTAGAACTGAAGACTTCAACAAGCGCTTTCTTCATCTCATGTATAAGAAAATGAAATTATTCCGCTTCATATGATTATTATTATAAGTCTGCTGATAACAGGACGGTATTGGTACCCATGGGTATTCCGACATATTATTGGAAGACTTGGTCATCAAACACTACAGAAATATTTTCAATCAGAAACTCAAACATCTTTTTAATATCAACTTCAGAGTACTTGTGTGTACAATCAAAAACATTTTACAAATAATGTTGCAAATGGCCAATGACAAGGGAAGTAAATTTACGAGTTACTCTGATTTCAGATTTTAGTAAAACCTGAAATCAAAGTTACTTTGAAAAGCTGTCATAAACTGCAACGTCTTTTTATAAACCTGATGCATGCTCAAAACTAGAGTGATATTTTTAAATCAAGGAGCACACGTCAATGAGTGACCGGTCGGCAGGGGATGTTAACTTCTCCATGTCATCTGAACCCACCTCTGATTTTTATGGAGGTCTATGTTGGCTCTTCTCCAATTTTGTATAGTTTAATAGACTTTTAAGCTCGAATACTGTTCATATATTTCATCAAAAAGGGGTAACTGGCAATGTTATGGATGTTGTGAATGGACTAAGTTGTCTCGGATAATAGCATGGTTCTTGTGTAAAATTATCTTTTGCCAATTTGACAATGTTTTGAAAAGAAAGAAATAAGACTTTTTTCTTTCCCTAGACGTATATCATAACGTAATTTGAACTTGCTAAAAGCAATCTTTCCATTAACTAGTGTTTTGACTTGATGTAGGGAATTCTTAAACAGTCGACTTTTTCAAGATTATAAACAACCTCTAATTCTTTTAAACTAGCAGTTACTTAAGTTTTTATCAAAAGTGGAGGCATCCCCTTTTCTGCCAGACCAACAGAAATGTTATGCGTCAGGCTTTCTTTCCGATATAGTGTAATAATCATAATCACATACCGGTATTGGATTTTAATAATGCATTACAAACTTAAGACCTGGGGGTCGTAACATAAAGGCTACCTAAGTCTAAGACCGTGCTTAAGTAGGACTTAAGTACAGTCTAAAACCTAAGACTGTAACTAGAAGCGTACTACGATTTGGTAATCTTAGCAAAACTTAGGCGGCCGGTAGAGGTGACTTAAGTATATCTTAACTTTCTTGTACATATATTTAGAGTTATTTAATGCTGATTTTCGATGTTTAAACATTCCTTTATACATATTATGCATTAAAGATAATAATTATCTCTATTGGACGCTGATTTAAGAATTTTATCTTTTCGTTGGGGGGGGGGGGGGGAGGGGGGCGATCGCTGATTACAATATCACTTCCAACACAGCATACATGTAAATATGAAATTTAATTTTAGGGATACTTCTAAAATTAGTGGGACCTTGGTTATAGAAATAAATTGACGTAGTAATACATCATTGATCGGTATGTTGAATTTGAAAATATGAGTTGAAATAATTTGTTAAAAAAAGAAAAGAAAGAGGATTATGATAAAATAATAATGAAAAAGTATCTGTAAATTAGAATAAATGTTGAACGATTTAGACAGGGTTCGTTACAGTTATAGAGAGAGAGACAGAGAGAGAGAGAGAGAGAGAGAGAGAGAGAGAATTGCTGTTAAGTGGAGACATACAGGTACTAAAAAATATCCGATTTTTTTTGTATCCTTGATAAAATTTCAAATGAGTATATCATAAAACTTCTGCAGTTTTTGCTTCTGACACGCATGGCCTGATACATAGCGGGGATTCAAAATGTATTGAACTTTTTAGAGTTTCAATTTCAAGTGGATTGGCGGTCGATTATCTTTTCTTGTTTGCGATAATAACAGGGTATGTGAACAATTTTCGAAACAAAAGAGTTACAAAAGGTAAACTGAAAACATCTCAGGTGATAAAGCAATTGTCGTGAACATTTACAATGAACCAGAAATCGTCTCTTTCTGACCGTGCGGTATTTGTTTTGAAACATTCCGAATACTTTATAACATAATTATAATTTTAATACGAAATCTAATCTAACATAACATAAACCGATAGGTAAGGACGTCAACTTTAATATGTAATTAATTAAAACCCTAACTGAATAGCTTTTAGCAATATATCTAAATAAAATCAAAAACCATAGGTTGACTCATATAAAATATTTTTAACATAAGTTTGACTTAGCTAGGATCTACCTAAGTTCGCTTTATGTTACGGGATAAAACATACTTAAGAAGTACTTAGATAGGCCCTAAGATTGTGCCTAAACCGTACTTACGACCATACTTAAGTCAAAAACTTAGCAAGCTTTATGTTACGAGCCCCTGCATGATAATCACAATTCATACAGAAATATATTAGAATTCATTTCTGATATAAACTTACACTGTGTATATTTAAAAAAGCTGATGAAAGTATTTCAATACTGTTTCACTTGGATTCATGTTTTTCCCCTGAAAGTTTTTATCAATCAGTTTCTTCAATATTTAATACGATCCATATATTTAGAAATCTATATACCTTGCATGATAAAGCAGAGAAGTGTCTTGTTATGTGCTATTTTTGGTGCCTTACTGGTGCATTCCTATTCATAATGTAAAACTTACCTGAACCTGCGGACGCTTTATCTTCCTTGTTGTTGTTTTTGTTGTTTTTGTTCAACCCTGTTAATATAAAAGGTAAGACAGTAATAATAATATGATAATGATTTTAAAACATATGACATACATAACTTTGTTTTTCATCGATCATGTTGTAAACATACTT